AGAGATTTTTTTTACTTTCCAGTAAAGTGACCTTTTTGTTGTATTTTTAACAACTTTCAGCCACAACACCTGCACTTGCCTCAGTGTTTCATTCATACACTCAATGGTAAAATTAGCTTTTCAAATAACAGCAAAGAAAGATGCAGGATATCCGTGCAGGATGTTAACAAAAAGCCCCGCCGTCATGCTGTGTTGCTCTGACTGTTCCTAAATGTTGCCCGTTCAGGCGGGAAACACTATTGCTATTGTTGTGCTTCGTTCCCAAGCCCTTTTCTTGCCAGCATGCTCCTGTTTATGCGTTATTGACATGATGAGGTTATTTCCCACAATAGAACAATAGAAGAATGCGAGCTGACACAATCGAAACGAGGAAGCTGGGAGCGATGTGGAGAAACGAGGCTTTCTGTATCTATCAGAAAGGTAGTCTTTCTTTGTGTTGGCCTCAGTTTAAGCTCCTAATCAGCTCAATTGCAGAGGTCATCAGGGCGGACTCTCCATCCGGATGTCTGGATGGAGAGTCATGAAAGTTATGAAAAGCAAAGACTATTTTGACATATTTTCTTTTCCTCCAGAAAATTAAATATATATATATTGCTATATTTATATTATCTTCACAGTTATACATTGATTGTTTTTTGACAAATTTTACTTAGTAAGTAATGTTGGGATTTTAGAGACTTCTAGTTTGTTCTATAGTGGAGCGCTAATTTGTTCATCAGTGCCAAACACGACGTAGCGACCTGCAGTCTCCAGATCCACTCTAAGTTTCTAAAGTGAGTTGAGAGACGTCAGTAGAAATTTTGGTACTTTTTTAACAAAAAAATAAATAAATAAAATAATTCACTTCAGATTGATAAGTAGATTATTTATCTAATGGCGAAATATTTGAGTCTGATTTACCAATTATAATGGAATTTAAAATGGTGTGAATTCACACTGCACTACACTGACTGCAGTTTTCTGATCAATCACCAATCTTTAAAAAAAAAAACAGATTCAAATCAGCCGATCATGTTTTATAACTGACAGTCCAATCTTATTTTACTTTAAAAATATTTAGTTTTCTTACCTTCCTTGTGAAAATACTGAATGACAATTTGAATATTATTTATATTTCATGCATACAATTTGTTTTTCTGTCTCTAAAATGTAAGAAAAGTTGGGGAAAATTAATTAATCAAACTTACTTTTTCTTGCTGTGTTTGAGAATGATCCTTAAGGCTAACAATAATTTTGCCTGTTTATATCCAGCTTCCAAACACTTTACACATACTTCGTATTTTAACTCCTCTTCTAGCCATTAACAAAATGATATCGTGCATTTACATTTTATTCAGTAAAGCTAGCGTACTTGTGAAAAGTTAAGCTATAAACCATTAATATGTAATATATATCGATGCTGTAACCAAGTGTTTTCTCGCAGTAAATAGGTGCTACACTGCATCCGTACTGCCTTTCATATTTTTTCCAGTCATGCTCACATAGATTTAATGCATTTCCAGAGAAGATTTTATTTACTGGCAACATTTATTTGAAGTGGATTAGGCTGTGATGGATTTTTGTCATGTTTGTTTGGTCTAAATATATAATCTTTTCAGACTGGGAAGGATGAGAAGGATGAAAATGACACTTGATGCAAACACCAGGAAATCTGTTCATTGAATTTTTTGGGTAAGATAACTCATGATATTTCCTGCAGTCTCCAAAATATTCAAGCACCTCGTAGCACCTTTTTGTTAAAATGAAACTATTAATAAAGGTAAATGAAATAAAGATAAAGATTTACAGCCTTGTGCAAGCACTGTTAAACTTGTTTGTCTTTTCTTGTCATCTAAAACAAGAAAAAACATTATTCAAAAAAGATCAGAGTTCACAAAGCTCTAGATTTTACTTTCAGTTTGGACTCTGAGCTTTTAAGATTGTATTATCTCTGTATCTGTATCACGTACAGAAGATAAACATTTGAACATATGAGAAACAAACAAGATCATTGATACAACCTAAATAATTCACACATAAACATAAATTATAGCAAATTATTTCACAGATGATAATATGGGTAAAAAAAATTGAACAAGACAAGAAATTCTGATAAAACGTGAAGGAAAAGAAGTATTCAAATCCAGAAAATATTCAGAAAGGATTCTGAGGATTATTAAATCAATATCAGCTGATTTAATAACTTATGGGCTGGAAAACTATCAAAGGGTTGCAGAGGGTGTCACACCTGGAAAAAACAAAGTGACTCCCATAAAAAAAAGGCTCAGGGTCAAATTGTACTAATAGCAATGGTTTCATCTGCATTTCTAAACTCCCTCTGCTGCTCTCTCTCTCTCTTTCTCTCTCTTTTTTCCCTATTAAGTTCATGGACTGATTTGATTTCTTTATAAATGTGTGGATCACTTGGTTTTTTGCTGAGATCTGGTGTGCATTTTTAATCCAATAGAAGAAAAACATGATGAGTCCAACACTTATTTTACCCACTTAACATATATTATAAACCACATACCGTGTCATTTCTGAATAGGAAATGTATCGGACTATCTAAATAACAAAAAGTTGTGGTAGAGTCAGTTCATGGTTTTTAGTGATTTCAGGCTAGATTGCAAAATGAAATTGATTGTTTAAACACTTTAATTGCTATTTTTCTCCTATTCGTTTAGCTAAACGTAAACACTGGTGGAGTGATGGCAGTAGTTTCCAATTAAGAAGTAGCTAACATAACCTGCAGAAAAGCTAGAAACCGTCGTTAGTTACTCTGAGCTTTAGGCCGAGTCACGAGGTTCAGTTTCTGGACATCCATATGTCAGATGTAGAGCAGCAGATGGACTGAATTTATGCATTTTAATTTTCTAAATCCCACTGCTCCCAGTGTTATTATGTCTCCTCCCAATGCTGCAGACATTTCAATCACTATTGAAATACATTACATTTCAGTGCATTTCACTAAATACATTGAGCTTTGATTCCATAAATTAGAATATACTCGAACAGTTCAATTATATCCCATTAATTCATTCACTAAGTGAAATAAATTACACATATTAAGTACAGACAGACTGAATCTTTCAAACTTTCATTTCTGTTATGATGATTTTCACCTTACAGCTAATAAAATATATTAAAATTATCATCTTGCATCAGAACAATTAAGAAAAATCTTTTTAATAAATGCTCAGCTCAATTAAAACTATGTTTAATACTTGCTTTCTATCTAAGATCGATCTAAGAAATGAGCCTTACATACATTAATTTATTCAATATGACGTGTGTATTTCCTCTCACTTGTGATTAATCATGGCAGGCTAATCTACTGACGCTCAGAATTATGACGTGTTTGTATCCCAGTTAAAGATGTGCATCAGTACTGAAATCTGTCAAAAGTAGAGAAATTAAATTAACTTAGAAAAGCTTTTATCTTCCAATGTGAGCTGAATTTCAACTCGTCAGCTCAACAACAAACAAACAAAAATATGTCATTGTTTTGTGACATATTGGGGCGACTGTGGCTCTGTGGGTAGAGTAGTCATCTTGTAATCAGAAGGTTGCCAGTTCAATTTCAGCTTCCTCCTGCCACATGTCAATGTGCCCCTGGGCAAGGCACTCAACCCCAAATTGCCTACCAAGCTGCATGTCAGTGAATAAATGTGTGTTTGTGAGTGCAATTGGGTGAATGTGACTCTAGTGTAAAGTGCTATGAGTGGTCAAAAATGATTGGATAAAGTGCTATATAAGTTCAGTCCATTTACCATTGTTAGAGATCTTAGTCACATTACTTGAGCTTTATTTAATAAAGCAAAGCTTAAGCGGAGCTCTAACAGATACAGATATGTGAAAAATAAGTAGTAAAATAGAATATTATCCTTTATGTGTTCAAAACAAAGAGCAATTTATATCCTCCATAAATTCATACTTTTATTACAAAATATCACAGAATTTGTTTGCTGTTGTATTAATGTGACATTTATTCCCATGGTGGTTGCATGTACACTTTTGACTGGCACTATGAATACAGATGGAAATATGAAATTCAACTTCATTTTATATGGGTCAAATAAATGCACTTTTTATTTGTGCTTGTCAAAAGATTTTCTCAAAACTATCAAAATAAAAAAACAAAAACAAACCTAAAATAAAAAGTCATGATTTGTTACATTAAGAACTAATGGGACATTTATTTGAACACACTGTAACAAGAGTTGAAATGTTTAATTTGTATCTTTATCTGTCTTATTGTGTTTCTCCAAGCTTATACAAATAATTCCCATTTGTATGTTTGTTGATTAAACTATCTAAAAGATACACCCACAATGCAATAGTAATAGTAGGGAAATGCGGAGCTTGCTGTTTAGACGTGCGCAGGAAGAGCCCATTAAATGATGGTGTGGATTACATGGATTAAAATAGCTATTTACATCGCAGGTCTTGGCAGACGAGACACTTTTTGAGGTTAGTTACCTCGCAGGGTGAGAAGAGATCTTTGGGAAACGCTGAAAAAAAAAAAGTGGGTTTTATTCAGTAAAAAGTTGTAATTATGGCCATGAAACGTTTGTGAGTAATGTGAACATTAAGGCCTGAGAATTAGAGCAGGAATTGTTTCACTGGGTTTTGTTCAGCGCTGTTCACTTTGCTGTTTAACCCACATCATAATTGGGACAAATTCCATCCACCATCACAAAAACTGAACAGCGAGCTGTTTCTACTGATTCTGACAGGCACAAGTAAACAAACGTGATGCTTGTACTGTCTCAGTACAGTGGGCGAGGCTCTGCTGTGGATTTGTTAAAGGAGATCAGTAAGTCAGTAGAAGGAGTAACTAAACAAATCCTGCTTATTTATACCTCCAGCTAATCCACAGCCTTTGGGCGCAGTTTACCTGCACCACTGCCAACATGCATCACCTTTTACAGCTCAGCTCACATGTTAAGCATGCTGTGAATTTTATAGTAATTTATTAGCTAAATCTTCATTTTGTGTTTTGTTTGTTCGCTTGCTTGCAGAGGTAAACGGTCAGAGAGTGGAAATGGATGATGGGAAGTCTGGATATGTCGGCTCGAAGGTGGACCTTCGCTGCCGGTTCATCAACAGTAACCCACCTGTTAAAATCTCCCAGGTATACGTCAACAATGCTGGATTAATGGAGTCACAAATGAAATGCCTCAAAAACAGTGTCACGGATTTTCTCTTAAAGTAACATTTTAAATTAATGAGAACATTTAAATAATGTGTTCAGATAATGGATGGAGAACATTTAAAGTACCAGCAGGTAGTGAATTAAATAATGGGTCATCAACACAGATTATGGTGGCTTACGCTGCTCTGCACCAATGAAATAACATTTTAGTTTTGCTTTCTTTCTAAGGGTCTGTCCAGTTAATACACTCAGCTAAACACACAAACACTGAATGAGAAGCAAACATTTAAATTATTATTCCCTTCAGGTAACAGACATTAAAACCATGAGTCCTTTTCAGAGAAAACCAATAATTTATTATTTACTTTTGTCAAAGAGTTTTTTTGAATTTCTGTTTGACTCTAGTAATTTTTTTTTGTCTCAATTTCTCAAGGTAACGTGGCAGAAACTGGCGAACGGCTCCAAGCAGAATGTGGCGATAGCAAATCCATCGCTGGGTGTGTCTGTGGCCCCTCCTTACAGGGACCGCGTTACCTTCAAGAACGCGGCAGTCAGACGGCGAACTCCGACGTTGGAGGACACGACCATCGTCTTTTCTTCGCTCCGCCTTTCTGATGAGGCTACTTACATCTGTGAATACACGACGTTCCCTGCAGGGAACCGAGAGAACACCGTAAACCTCACCGTCTACGGTGAGAGCACGACTGAGTGGCCTTTCAGAGTGTAAAACGCTATTATTTTGAAGGATAAAACTTTGTATTTGGATATTTTTGGTGGATTCTCTAAGCATAAATAGTTATTATTGTATATAATCCTTGTATACTCAACAACTTTTTACTTAAAAGTCGTTGACTGACAGACATGTGTGCACCATTACTGAATATTAACATTTATATTTCTTCAGTTCGCCCAACAACCCAGATGAGTTTGTCCACGCCCACACTCGTGGCTCGTTCATCAAATCTAAAAACTCCAGTGGCCACCTGCATCTCCGCCAATGGAAAGCCACCTGGAACAATTAGGTTTGTCTGTATTTATGTTCAAATTAACCTTTCCTTTTGTAGAAATGCACAGTGTTTCACCAAAGTGTACATACTCCTAGAACCTTTTCACATTTTCTAAGAAACAAACAAACTATGAACTCCATTTTTTGTCATTGTGATAGACCAACACAAATTATTGTTTCGAGGTAGTGTCTTAAATATGAAGTGGAAGGGAAATGATACGTGGTTTTCTAAGCAGCTTTACTGCTATTTAAAGGGCAAGTCTTTAGAGGTTTGTCTGTCTTGTGTGCGGGAACAGGTGGGAGACAAGGGTGCCTGGAGAAGTGACCACCCGAGAGTACATCAACTCAGACGGGACGTTCACCGTTCAGAGCGACTACATTTTAGTCCCCAGCAGGGAAACCCACCGGGAGACACTGACCTGCGTCACCACTTACAATGAGGAGGTCTACACAGACAGTGTCACTCTTGATATCCAGTGTAAGTCATTCGTGACAAGCACAAAATATAACAGATGTTCTGTTCTGCTCCAGTGTAATTCTCTAAATCTTCACCAAATTGAATCCCAACTAACACTGAATGACTCAAAAAGACCAGACAAAGAATCACTGATTGACGTAATCTTAACAAATTCTTCCTATGTGTATTCTCCTGGCACTTTTTAAAATTATAATAGTGATCATTTTGCGTTTTTAAGGGCCATTCTATCAAGTTACTTTATTTATAAGCGTACCACAGTAAAGAATCTGTGGCACGCTTGGTCTAAGCTGTAAGACCAAGACCTGGCCTTACAGTTAAGGCCCAAAAAAAACCAACCAAAAAAACCAAACAAAAAAACCCAGAAAATCTGAATTATAATGAGACTTTCTTTTCAACAATTTAGAAATAAGGCAACTGAGGCATTATGTCAAGGAGCGACACAGGTGCAATTCAAATTCCCATTTATTAATGACCCACTATTAGCTATCAAATCAGATAATATTGTGGTTACTGACAAACTTCACATGGCAGATCTTAATAAGTATTTCAAAAAGTCAGGGCATTTTGACGTATTTGCAAGCATTGAAACTAATGCAAACTAAGGTTGCATTACGATAAAAATAAAAAAACTGATATTGCTTCTTCTTCTTCTCTAGATGAGCCCAATGTGATGATTGATGGTTTTGATGGGAACTGGTATCTGAACAGAGAGAACGTCCAGTTGAGCTGCCAAGCCGACGCCAATCCGGTCGTCTCTTTGTACCAGTGGAGGCTGTAAGTGTTCACTTACACAGATTTAGTTTTTCTTTGAGCAATCAAACTTGTTTCTTTACCAGATTAATGCCAGAATAGATTTACCTGACATCACAGGTATAGTGATGCGATGGAAGAAAACAATGTGGAGTATGAGATTAACTTTTCAGAATACTCATGGGTTATTATGGGGAAGCCTATCTATTTTCTCAGCTTCAGTAAAATCAAAATAACCTCAACTAATCTATCTCACAACTTAATTCAGTTATCATGTTGTTGATTAGTTGGACAGATGGAGGAATCTCCTTATTTAAAAATAACAGAATATCCAAAATTATGGCTTTGAGCATTCCTGCATGTTTTTGCCTTTAAATAAAATTTCCAATAGCATTACCCTGGTTATAGTTTTCTTGACTAAGTCATGTTGAAGACTTCCACTGGAAAATGTAAACACCAAGTGTTGAGAAATGAGATATTTGCTACCTGTTGCTCGTTGTTACCTCGTCTCCCCTGGTCCGTTAATGTTGTGTGTAAAAGTGAAACCGCAAAGACAGCAGTCACTGTTCAACTTCACAATCATCCAGAATGTTATTCAAAACAATCAAGTGCATGAAATCACATCAACAGCTCGACATAATCATCAGAAACCAAAGCCACAAAGAAGAAATTAATTACCTTAGAAAAATACAAAAATACGAAGACGTGCCTTCGGAGACCACTGTGTGTTAAGACGGTTCCACCCCAGTGATCTGATTAGCTGTTTTAGCTCAATTACTTTTATATCCAGGCCTGTTTCTACTTTCTGGTGTGCTCTAATGTAACGTTTAGAGGTGGTCTCCAACAGCTCGTAATGTTGCTGTTTGCACGCCAGAGACCATGCAGGTGTTTACCAAGGCCAAGGGATGAATTCATCGCTGCCTAAGCCATCCTCCCTCCGCATTTTCCCAAGGCAGGAACAATAGATGTGTTCATTTTCATACAGAAACATTTTACTCAAGAAAGTGGGACCAAAGTTTACCAGCTATCTGTTTCTCATTTCAAACTGCCTCAAACTGGTTCCAGAACCGCACAGAGCTCTCCTGACCTCTCCTCTGACCCAGGGCATCAAACAGCAGATTTTGATTATAAAAATTGGCACACGCTTCATATAATATCTTCAAACTCCTATAAAACAGACACGAGCAGCTTCAATACCAAAACATATGTTACACTCAATATTTTCTAATTAGCTTCCTAGTTCTTTGGTCATAATGAACTAAAACATTTTCAGATGAATATATGACTTATACACTCTTAAGAATGAGATCTAATATAAAAAAAATACTGATTAGACTAATTATAATGAAATTGGGATCAAGAAAAAATGTTCTACTGATTAAGTTATATAGTGATTAAACTATGAGTATAAATCTAACCTAAACTGGGGCCTACTTAATACAATCAGGATCTGTCTAATATTTCAACATGCTCTAAACTTAAAGCTAGCATTAAAACTAGCATAATTAAACTAATATTTCCAACACAAGATAAATAGAAATTTGAATTTGCAGGAGGCTCTGGGTCAGATCATTTCCTTATTTATTTAAACTAACACTTTTAAATACTACTCTAAATTGCAACTAAAGGCAACATCAGCTGACTAAAGACCAGCTTTTATGCTCACCTTGCATTTTTTGATATGTTTTTTGCGACTGCAGGGTTAACAACTCCATTCCGAGCAATGTCGAAATCCGAGACAACGTCCTCCTGTTTAAAGGCCCCATCACATACGAGGTCCAAGGGACATACGTGTGTGACGCGACCAACAGCATCGGGACCAGCTCTGCCTTTGTCGAGGTCAGCGTTTTGGGTAAGGTAGCTAGAGTACGTCTCTTATTCAGTTGATTTGTTACTTTTAGGCCCTTTAAAAACTATGATATATTTAAATGTACAAATTAACTGGCAAAAAAGAAAAAAAAAAAGTTCTTGAAGAAGTTTCAGAGGCACACTGTTTTGGGTTTGCATGAGGCCGGGTGTAAAGATGTTACACTGACTTAGTGGAAATGCGTATTTTAATATTAAGTATAAGCATTTTTATTTACATTTTTGAATTTTCAATTGGACTTTTATTTTCTAACTTTACTTTTCTACCTGCTGTTCTTGCAGAAAAGCCTCTGCCCCAGATTGCAACAGGAGACGTCATCAGTGTGATCGCCTTATTACTGGCTGCTGGCGTCCTGATGGGCATTACTATCACAGTCCTGGTGCTCAAAATAAGAACTAGAAAAGACAGCTCCTCGTATGTAAACGTAATCTCAGATTATTACATTTTAGTTGTTTTTCTCAAGGCGATTAATCCCATTCATTTTTACATGTTTTACTTTCTCTCCCAAATGCGTTTTGATCAGAGGTGACTCACCATCCAGAAAACTGTCTCAACCCATCAGAAAAAGACCGGATGATATTCAGGTAACACGTATGTTGTGCTTGAAATTTTCACATTTCAGGGTTTTGAATCAGTCTATGCTATATATTATAACAACACTGTAATGATACCTTTTTATGTTGCTCTATGAGGAGAAAAAGGTTAAAGAACACTAAACTCAAATGTTACTAAAAGTTCAGTTACGGAAAGCCATTTTGGACATTAATCAAAGCTCTTTCCAGCTGCACGTATTAAACACCTCTTACTAAACTCTAACTATTGTCATGAAGTTGCCTTAAACAAGCACTAGGTAAAAGGTCATACCCTGTTCTAATGCTGCTGAACACTGAATTTTACATCTTTAATCCTAATATACACACACTATACAAAACAGTGGCGCCTCACAAGCAACACACATTGTTTACAGATGTGACAGGACATTATGTTCCATAAAATTCACATTTTTCATTCTGTTGAGAGAAGAAAGAAATAAGTAAATAGCTTTACCAGCTAGTATTTTTTATTTTATTTTAATGTTTATTTCAATGCTTTAGTTCACTGTGGAGTTGGCCTGTGACAAAATTTCTTGTTTCTTTCCATTAAAGTTTCTGAAGTAGTTTATAAAGTTCTGCAAAAGGATTTTGGAGTCGTGTTTGATATGTCTGGGTTAATTTTTACCTCACATGGGTTAAACTCAAGAATAGCTCTGTTTCCTACAACACCACTATCAATCAAAAGAAAAACAGCACAGATAATGGGTTTTTGACTTTTAACATTTTGCTTCTCTGCAGCATGCTGGACGCTTTTATGAGGAACTTCCAAACACAGCTGACTACGTGAGCTACAGACTCGCCTGTAACAAGGAGGATTATCCAGAACCCTACTCCCCACCGATCAACCCTCCTCTTTCATTTCTACCCCAGCAGCCCTACCACCCTTCACAAACGATGCCTGTTTTGGGCACCAGCAGTGCCAGCACCCCGTCAAAAAACACTTTTGCTCCACCGACGCACACCACAGCCGTCTTTAAATACCCCTCTGTGCCGGGTTTGTCATCTCCTCCGCCTGGAGTGGGGCCATATACTTTCCCCAAAGAGCAGTACGTCTGAAGCGGCATCTTTAGGAAAGGTTTGGTGAACCTTATTTGAAGCTAGATGGACTATCAGGCAGCAGATCTGCACTGTGGACATCTGAGGACATTGAACTTGTTGCTGGACTTCACTCTTGCTATGTCTTTCTTTGTCTTAATTTAATGTTCAAAGGGAATCTTGTGCTCCGTATTCAACGTTTAGGCTAGAGAACGCCTGTTTGAAAGAACAATGTTAAAAAAAAAATAATCAAGATGAAAGGATTACCTTGATGTTGTTTACTCTCCTTGCTTTATCCGCATCAATATGGTTTTTATAAAAAAGAAAGAAAAAGAAAAACATTTATCATCAATTTACATCAATTCCTGTGTTTTCTGGTGACGCACTGTTTTCCTGTTGTACTTAGTTACAATCCTTTTATGTAAGGTTTTGGCATTGTCTCATGGTCTACCGTACTTCTGTGCTTGTATTTTGTATCTTTTACGGTTTGTTCTTTGTAATGAAGAGAAAAAAAATCTTTATATTCCAAGGGAGTTTATGAAAGTGATGGTCTATTGTTAATACCTGGTGTTGTTGGATGAATGTTGAAAATTTTAGCAAATAAATAAAAATGATCACATGAACAATTTATGGCTTTGGTTTTAGGTGAAACAATCAACTCAATGCAATCATCAAACATGCTGTCAACATGCTGTTCAAGCTTGAACAACGTTATTTAATTGTTGACAGAAACTGAGTTGAGGGCCTTGAGGTCTAATAAGATTACAGGCTGGAGCGTTTCTGCGCAAAGAGAATACGGGTTCCTTTTCTGTCTGAGTGGGAAACTAGAGAGCTTAGATAAATCTCTGCTTATTTTGTAACTCAGATTATTAATATTTGTGTTCAACTTTTTAAACTACCAGGCAGTTTTGCTGCATTTATCGTTAACTTTTTTCCTTAGAATATTGATGGTCAGTTTTTCTTTTGAACGGTTGAAGGTTTAAAGACCTTGGAAGACTTTCAGAGGGTTTGTGTAAAAATGTCTCCTTTATTGCTAATGCGTAGTTTAACATTGTCACCCAAAGGTTAACCATGCTTTGCAATAATTCCTGAATACCTTGTCACCCTGCATCTGTTGTTAAGGTTTCCTTCTTGTTGGAGCAACATCTGATTTATATGATGTTGTTGGAATCGCTGGTAGAATATCTGACAGGTAACAGAGATGGTAAAAGACTGTTGCATCAAGAACACATCAGAGATGTGGGGAGTTTAATGCTGCCATTACTGTAGCATGTCTAGAAAGGTTTGTATTTGTGGTGAACGCTTCACTTACTGATGACGGATTCAACAATGAATTGCTAAACTCCAGTTTAAAAAAAATTCTGACATGATTTTATAAAATAAATAAGATGTAAGTTTAAGACTGAAGACTAACTCACAAAAAAGACTATTTATTGAGCTAGATTTTTTTTAGGACTGTCAGAGAAAAGGGGGTTGAAATGCACGTCAAATAAATAGTAACTATTACTAAAATAGTTTGTTTTGTTGAGATTGACTATAATTTATCGTGATCTATTGTATTGTGTATTGGAAACATCTTTGTAATTTAAACTAAATTTAAGTTTGACCACAAAACTAGGTATGCATCCTTAAAGAATGTGCCTTTTCAGATGTTTAATTCATGTTTGTATGTGTTTATGATATAGATTTTAATCCAGTTGGATTCCTAATTATTCAGGTAAAACTTTGAATGTTTGCCCCAAACCACCCTGCTTGTGTTAGGTAATGTGCAGGTATGTGCATTTATGCATGAGTATGTGTGTGTGGAAGTCTGAGCCGCTCACCCATGCAAATGTCTTGCATAATAGATGAGCTTGCAATCCCCGTGTTATTCTAACCCTGAAGGAAAAGAAAGGAGGAAAGACGGGCAGAGTAAAGGAAAACCAAGACTTGACGAGGCAAAATCAAGTTTTTAAATTTAGTCTTTGTGCCTTCAGCAATCATGAAAAATAATTTGGACTGGAGAGACAAAGAAACACAATTCTAGTGCAGAAAGGATGTACTAGAAAGTGGATTTTCTTTTTGGTGTCCGTAAGCTTCAACCTTCAATGTCTTCCCCATTTTTTGGATTAAACTTCTTGCTGGACTAAGAATCATCATGATACAATGGTGGCCCGAGTGCTAGAGGTGGAATTTATATTTCTTTCAACAAGTTTATTAGTTTTAGCAACATGCGGTAAGGGTTTTATTTATCTATATATCTGTCTCTGTCATGTAATTTCACAACTGCAAAAGATCAATTCTGTTTAAGTTTGTATGTTATTCTTTTTTAGTTGACTCATGACTAAAAAATAATACCATGGTACACATTGGTAGTGTAGGGAACAAAACTAATGCTAAATGTCTGTAGCATATACAGAGACTCAAACCTATAAGCTTTTATATATATATATATATATATATATATATATATATATATATATATATATATATAA